TATTTATAAATTTAATGTTTGTATTAAATTTTTATGAAAAATGTTATGTCAAGTTAAATAATAAGTGTGTTATTTCTTGATTTTGTACTTATCCTGTGCAACAGGAGTCGTTTTGAAAGGAACTTCGTATGTGGGTATAAGCATGTACATATGTTTATGGTTATAGGAAGAGTAATGATATACATGAATGTATGATGTTATAGCAAATGTAAATGAGTGATAAGTGGTTATAATATTCAGTAATCTTTCGAAAACATTGAAAACGTTTCAGCAGACAAATGCTTTCAGTTTATTTACAGGCAAATATACATTTATGTATAAAAAGTATCAAATAGCGATCTAATGTATATCTATGTTTGTGCGTAACTGTAAATATAAATTGACAAATTAGATATTGTAAGTATTTCGAGCTTTGAGATTTGACAAAAATAATAATTCTTTATATCCATAGAATTATTTAATGGAATACTTGATCACGGCTATTTGCTCTGGTTGGCTAGCTGGTTGTACGTATGCACAGAGCATTTTATCATCTGGTCCGAATAAAAGTGTACAAGTTCATACATACATACAMAATATTTGAGCAAGTTTTTAGATGCATACATTCTTAAGCTACATACATTTGCACATGTACGTGCATATGCACCGTTTGTTTATTTCTAAATCTATGATATTGTACAGTCGCAGCACATGAGCGAATAGTAGAGACATTTAACTACCTTTTCATCATTATCATCGTAAGGTGCCATTGATTTCGTATCATGTTTCTCCTTAACTGCGCGGCCATCTAACTGATCCATTTCCTGGCTAATGACTGATCTTTTAGATTTTTTACGTTTGTTTTTATGCGTCAGTTCGGAGCAGTTGCGTTGGTGCACCATTTCATCAATCCATTCAAAATTTGAAGATATTTGATTTCTATTAAAACTAGAAATACTCTCAATTGAATTTATATCATCCTGGATAAGGAAACAATTAGTTGATTCGTCACATCGTGAGCAATATAACAAGCAAGCTAACCTGGTTATTGTTATGGTTTCTGTATCTGCTCCTTTGGGGTGAGCTGTTCCTGACAGCTGTCTGGTTGTGGGCTTTGCAATTGGCTAAGGGAGATGAGTTGGTTGCTATCGAAGCTGTCGTCCCTGCCGAACTATTTAAACCAACGGCAGTTGATATATCAGTTTCGCCGAGTGATGGGACCTTCGGCAAATCATCAGGATTTAAAATACTATGCTGTTGAAATTAAAATTGATATTAAGATGATCTGTGAAACATATCTACGTAGAAGCTATGTCAACCACTTACTAAATCAAGAATTTCAACTGTTGTGACAACAATCGGGGATGGCATTGCCGCAGTTGAGGCTGTCGACGGAGCCAGCTCCGACAGTGGACTATTTAAATTAGGAGTTATTGCAGCGATTGGAGTTGTTGGCAATGTGGCACATTCTGATACAGCTATTGCGTCATCTGGCGTTGTTATATTACTACGATTCAGCGAATCGCCTTTTACACTCTTCACAAGCGTCGATGACATGCCACCTAGCAGTGCCAATGATGATGAAGTCGAGGCACCGCTTATTTCTGGCGAGGGCCTAGAACAATATGAACAGATGCTATAGGCAGGTTCGCTATAACCAGATTCTATTGTATATATTTATGCAATAAACAAAATTACACTTGTTACGACGTATAAATATGGCTTCGCCTGCTGATACTACATAGATATATTAGCAGAGTACATACATATATAACTGTGAGAGTATGTGCCATATGATGTAGATGGTTTACTTATTTTTTTTTTTTTTTAATTTGAAGTACATAGGAGGGGGTGATTTATTAACTGCTTTACATGTATTGTCAATATACTCACAAGTCAATTAGTTCAGTTTGGGCCTTGCTGCCGCCCAAGCTCCACACCTCGCTTTTCTTTTGGGTGGGCGAATACGAGATCTGTTTGTTTGTAGAACTCAATCGACCTTTCGAATTGCTTTTTCGTCCTGGTATCCACAATATGCGTAAACCAGACGATTTGTTTTTTTTAGATGAATTCGAAGCCATCTGAAAATCAACGCCCCATTTCATACATTACATACGAACAAATAACAAACGAGTACAAAAGTGCGTGTAATTTCACAATTTTCCGGGAATTTACCGAGATCCTTGCTACTTTTGAGGAAGTGCCCAGTAATTGTTACTATTTCCATTTACCAATCCAATGGCAACTTACTGTTTTTTATATAATGGGCTTGATTTGCTGATGGAGAATATGAGAAAACACTTATACATATGTATGTATGTATGTTTATGTACATATATGCGTGCCACTGTTGATGTTTAGTTAGTAACAATCAGAAGACATAAATGGTTTTTGTACACATTCATATGTAACCCTAAATAGCATAACAGAAACCAGGTTTATCTCAGATTAATCCATGCTACATTATGTTATATATTTTCTTACTAATGAGCACAAAACGGCTTCGACCTTTACATTGCGCAAATCAGTTTTACCAAACAAGTCAAGTCTACAATGAGTGCGTGCGTTTGAATGTGTGTGCTTATGAGAGCTCGTGTGGTTTTTACATATGTATGTATGTATGTATTTAAATAAATATAGTCTTGTTTGGTCCAAATGACTTGCTTTTCATATTCTTTTTTAAATATGAGTAGCGTTGTAAAACAAACTGTAAATGGCACTTACCTTTAGTCGAGAGCCCTTTAAATTGTTGTTAAAGGCAAAGTAATAATTTGCAGCACTTTTTGTACAAACATATAATTATAAATATATTGCTTGTATGAGCTCTGTGAATAGGCGTGTGTGGATTCGTTTACAAATTATGCCGAGATACAGACTCGTGTGGACGGATTTGTTCAATAGTAGTTCGCTGAAGTTTTGGAAGTTTTTATTGGAATTTGTAAAAACACAAAAAATACAGTAAGTTAGGGATGTCAAAAAACATAAAAATTTTGATAATTGACTCATCGATGTATCGATTATACAAGATTTATATTCTTATCGATAGCTTAAAATTTAACCACTAACCAGAGAACAGCCAGTAGCACTGACCAAAGAACTAGGGCTGGAAAACCAGCGATAGATGTTCCCCTCGATAGATTTATCCATCGATGGAATGAACCATCGATACTATCGATAATTCCATCAAAAATTTGAAGTTCTTAGAAATGAACAAATTTTCAATAATTTAAATCATACATCCAACATAAAAT